GTCTTACACTACAACTGTCCTCTAGGGTTCAAGTGTTGGTGGGAGAGGCTCATAACAGACAAGTGACTGATCCACATGCTTGGCCCATGGTAAGGTACCTGGGTCAACCGACTTTACACTGATGAGCAAGTCGGGGAAAGAAAGATTTATGGTCTGGTTTAGGTTCTCCAGACTTCTGTCAATCATGGTGAAGATGGTGTGGCAGAGCATAGCAGCTCAGCTCATGATGGCCAGGCAGAAGGGAGAGAGAGAGAGAGAGAGAGAGAGAGAGAGAGAGAGAGAGAGAGAGAGAGAGAGAGAGAGAGAGAGAGAGAGCCTGCATTGGTAGGCTTTACCTCTTTTATTCTCCCCAAGTCCCCACCCATCCCTCTCTGTCACCCTTAGCCAATCTTCTCTGCAAACTCTCCATGACTCACCCCCTCAGCTCTTCTCAGTCTAATCAAGTTCACATTCAGGATGAACCACTGCAAGCCCACCCTTGTCAACTAGACTCCCAAACACATCTGAAACTGTAACATTCCATCTTTGCATCCATAACAACTTCTGTCCATCTTCTAACTCAAAATTCCTTCTGTCTATCTCTAAGATTTTCCAGTCTTAACACTTTGAACATTGTTCCCAAGTTCAAGTACAAAGCCTTCTCTTAGTTATGAGACCCTATGAAGCATAAAAGAAAGTTCCACACTTCCAATGTCCAACGGCATGGAGCCAACATTCACATTACAAAAGCAAGCAGTGGGGGCTCAGAAAGCAGGGGCGGGACCAAAGAGAGACTGAAATCTAACAGTGAAAGAACCCAAGGACGGTGGTGGTGTGGTGTGAATTCCAAAGCACTTGGCTGGTCCTGTCCTTGTTGCTTTACGTGTTTGCGTGTAACTCTATGTTTGCAGCCTACGTGGGTTCTCCTTTGATCAGGTTTAAGCTATGGCCTCAGGTCTTCCTCAGATGTCCCATGTTCCTGGCATCTTCTACTTCCTAGGATCTTTATCACATTTTTGATTCCATTCTCATAGTTTCATGCAAATGCCTCTTAGGATGATTCCCACAGAGATTCTAACCTTTCATATACTGCCTGTATCCCCTCGCTGTCCTTTGAATTCTCTGTGGAAGCCTCCATGACTCAGCAGCTCTTACATGTTGCATGCTTCCAAAACCAAAGGTCTGCTGCCAGCTTAAGCACAAGCTGAGCCTCCTGAGACTTCTGGCCTCTTCTACCTGTTTTGTAATCTGGTTTTGAATCTGAGCAGAGGATTCGCAGTCCCAGCTTATGGTCTCCAAGTTCCAGGCATAGTGGAGGAAGGCAGTGTGATCCAATGGCTAGACCACAGGCTTGGGTAATCCTATTTCTGGATCTGATTCTTCCAGTGCTTTGCTGGGACACCTTGGGAAGGTTGCTTAACTTCTCTGAGCTCAGTCCCTTACATGTGAGTTGAAGGTTGCTATGGGATAGCATCAGGATTAAGTGTGGGAAGCTGTATGTATTGTAAATTGGAGGAGGGATTGGGTTAGTTACTATGCTCTGTGTTGGGGCCAGTGGTTCTCTGACTAAAGAGTAGCTGGGTGGGCAGCTCCTGCCCTAGGCTTCTCCCTGGTAGAGCCATGGGCCAAGAACATCGTGGAACCTGACTTGTGCCATGAGCAGGTGGCACCATCTTTGTGGGCCTCCCTGATTCCTCTGTGTATCATGGTTACAGTACTCCTGATATGTGACTCAGCTGGAGGTGAACTCTGAAATCTGACGAACTTGTGGAGTGAACCTGACAAAGCATGGCCACCATGTTGCCTCAGATCCTCCTCCAGGATGGGGCCGTGGGTTTAGGGAGACTGTGACCGTCTCTACTTTGCAGGATGCTGTGGGGACTCTAGGACCTGCTGGGCTTGAACTGTTGAACCACAGTGAGCAATGGGCACATGGGAACAGCAAACGGGCATGCTCACTATTGTCATTCTTCTGCTGGAGGAAAACACTGTCTCCTGTGTTAGAGCACTGAGTCCTGGAGGAAAACACTGTCCGTCTCCCGTGTTAGTGTACTGCGTCCTGGAGGAGAACACTGTCTCCCGTGTTAGAGTACTGCATCCTGGAGGAAAACACTGTCCGTCTCCCGTGTTAGTGTACTGCGTCCTGGAGGAGAACACTGTCTCCCGTGTTAGAGTACTGCATCCTGGAGGAAAACACTGTCCGTCTCCCGTGTTAGAGCACTGAGTCCTGGAGGAAAACACTGTCTCCCGTGTTGTGTTAGAGCACTGAGTCCTAGAGGAAAACACTGGCTCCCCTGTTAGAGCACTGAGTCCTGGAGGAAAACACTGTCTCCCGTGTTAGAGCACTGAGTCCTGGAGGAAAACACTGTCTCCCGTGTTAGAGCACTGAGTCCTGGAGGAAAACACTGTCTCCCGTGTCGTGTTAGAGCACTGAGTCCTGGAGGAAAACACTGGCTCCCGTGTCGTGTTAGAGCACTGAGTCCTGGAGGAAAACACTGGCTCCCCTGTTAGAGCACTGAGTCCCCAGCACAGGGGCCAGGCACAGAGGAGGACTGACAATGGATTGTGTAAAAAGAGCAAGGACTTGGCGACACACTGCCTGCATTCGAGTCCACCACTTCTGAGCTGTGTGCCTTTGAATGAGTGCTCACACCTCTCTGAACTTCAGCATCATCTGTAACACAGGGGGAGGTGGCAGTCACAGCACATGCTTCCCAGGGCTGTGGAAAACACATGTTTCCAGCCATGGTTCTTCCATTTCTTTGCTGGAACATGGTGGGAAGGTTGAAAACTCTATGAGATGTATATGTATATAGGAGGAAATTCCATATATCCTATTTTTAGCATGGTGTCCAGCACATTTGAAAGCTCAGAGATCACCAGCATTTACTATTCTCACCTCAGGGGGTCACTGCACAGAGGGGCCTCTGAGGCCTCCCTTTCTGCCACCACCTCATTTGGAGATGAAGAAAGAGGCCAAAGACATTATTGCGAGAGGCATTTGGGAACGAGATAATTCATGGCAGTGCTAAATTGCGCAGGGCAGACCATTAGGGAAGAAACGATGTATAATAAAGAGCTAATGGGGCAGGACTGAGGGGAGTGTCCCAGGAGCTAGAGAGGAGGGGGGTGCTGTGGCTGGGAGGATGGCCGACCTTGGCGGGAAGATGGGAGTCATGTCGGCACCTTCTCATGTGAGTGATGGATCTATATCAGGACATGATCACACAGCACAAACACAGGTGTAAAACAGCGCCTGACGCAGTGGGTCCCCAGAAGGAGCTCTATTTGTATTCACCTTTCCTCTTTTTCTTTCCGTTTGGGACAGCACATATTCTCCCAGTGGCCTTCGTGTGGCTGTGGCAGTCGGGAAGGGGGTGAGGATGCTGCGGTAACAAACAGCCCCCCAGAAGCAGCACAGCCTGTCCCCACTCACTCCCTGTGGCCGCAGAGCAGGGGAGGTGGCTCCTCAGCAGCACAGGGACTCCCCGAGGGAGGTACTTTGGGTGTCATCATCTCAGTGTGCAAATCTGCATTCTCTCCCAAGGTGCTCTGACTCCCAGGTGCTCCCACAGGGAAGGAACACCCCTCCTCCACTCACCTCCATTTCATTGGCCAAAACAGAACTCCTGGACACCCCTGAGACAAAGGCTCAGGGAATGCATGTCCTCTTGTGTGCCTGAGGGAGGAATGGACCCTGGTGACCTCATCTGTACAGATTCAGATTCAAGACTACCAATCTCTCTACTGTGACCAGCCCTGCTACCTGACACACTTTTGGAATTATTCATTTCATTAATGGCTTGTAATTTATTTAATGAGTGTCCTATTGTCATAACTCAGGTGGCTTCATTTTTTACCATTGTAAGTAATACCACAATCGCTATTTTATTCTTTGATTGTCCTCTAGGTTTTTATTTTGTTAGAATTGTCTCTAGGGAGACATTGGAACAAACAGCTCCGAGTCTTAAATGCTTCTCACACCTGGGTGTGTAGAGTGAATAATTGTGGTTAGTGGGAAGGCAGTTATGCATGATTAGGTCACTGGTCTTGGCACAGTCACCAGAACCACGGGTGTGTCCCAAGGAAGTGTTGCTGAACAAAGCAATGACTCCTGGGTCTGGGGTCAGGGACACCCTGCCCTTATGTGCTGTTATCTGAACCATCCTTTCTTGATCCAAATCCCACCCTTGTGGAAAGTGATCATAATACATCCTGTATTGGGAGACGTTGCCATGGTCCTGTCACCAGGGCAACTCTCATCCTCAAGGCCCAGGCAGGGCAGGCATTCATTTATCCCATGTGGTTGTAACTTGCAGGGACACTGGAAAGGAGCCAACCCTTCCTAAGGTTACAGGGAGAGAAGCACTTGATTCCCAGATGTCTGACTGATCACATAGATGTTGGCAAAGTTATCTGTGTGGGATGACTAGGCTGAAAACAAGAGTAAAAGCAAGAAAAGCCACCTGTCACCTGATCTGTGATAGAATGGGTGAGGATGGCCATTGTCCCAGAGGCAGGAGGTGGGCCTGCAGGGAGAACAAAGCAATCCTGACACCTGCTCTTGTCACACAGGTCCCCTGAAGGCCAAGGCCTGTGTCACCTTTTCTTCCACCCTTGGAGCCTGGCACCCAGGCCTTCCAGAAGTCTGTCATGCAGTCTTTTCTATCCTTTGTCCACTCTACCCTCTCCTTGTCTCTGTCCCTCCCCTTCCCCTGATAGCCCCAGGCCCATAGTCTGAGAACAAAGGTCTCTCTCTACCTGTGACATCACCTGAACACAACCATTGCCAGAGAGAACTCAGCCTCTGTGACAGGTAGAGATCTGAGAGGTGAAGGATTTGCCAGGGCAGGGGCTAGTGAGGGGTGGAAAAGCAGAGCTGTCAGGCAACACTGTCCCTGCTGCCCTTGACCCAAGAATGTGTGAGTAAATTAGGATAATCTCTCATTCTGTTATCTAACTTGGGGTCACAGTCTGTACCCCGAGAAGTCAGGTTTGGACACCTGTCATGGACAATAGTCAAATTTTAAAAAATGAGATTTATTCAACTTGGCCACATTAGGAAGGGAGGACAAAGAGATCCAGGAAGCTTCCTAAGTCTGTCTTCAGAGTCCTGAGTGAGATGAAGGATGTGTACATCCAAGCAGTCTTGGTCAAGCTGTGGTCCCAGTGCCATCATTGTCAACAACCATCTTTGTAAGGTTGTACATCTCTTTCCTTCAGACAAGGGTTTTGGAGAAAAATCGTGACTGGCCCAGGTTTGGGATTTCAGCATAAGATTCCTGGTGGAATTTCAGTTTCTCGAGGGCCTTTGTTCTGACAGTCTGATAGGTAAAATGTCTCTTTAGAAATACTGTCTTTCTGTGTTAGTTGCAATCCTTTCCAGCAAGGAGAAACTACCAGGTGAAGAAGAAACACAGAGAGAGAAGTTCAGGGTTGGGGACAGACGAGGGACTCTCTGGGGTACCTGTAGAAGGTCCAGCTTTGCAGAGGTCCCAGTCTTCGAGAAGTTTCATGGGACATGCCCCACCCAATGAAACACCCCTCCGTGTGCAGTCTCCCTTTGCCATGCTAGAATGAATGGGTCTCTGCTACTTGCAGAGCTCTGACTCAGACACCAAGGGAACCTATTTATTTTTAAAACCACTTTTAAAAAAGCACCCTTTCCAACAATGAGTGTGTCTGCTTGGAGAGGTCTTGTCAAATGAGAGGAACGAGGCGTTTGCAAGGCGACGTGGAAATTAAACCCACAATCTGGGCGCGTGCTTGTTTGACAAGTGATAATTAACTGGTGACAATATAATTTCGGTTTGGATGCAAATGTGTTTTTCATTAAGAAGTCATCAAAGAAGAAGATGTATGAATGGTCCACGAGTTCTGGAGAAGGCTCTGCACACCCTCCGTCATCAGAGGAGTGTGATTAGGGGCACCAGGTGATGCCACTGGGTCCCTGCGACACAGACTAAAATTGGAAAGGCTAAAGATAACAAGTGTCGGTGAGGACACAGAGCTGAACCCTCACGCGGTGTCCTAGTTACTGCTGATGTTGTTGTGACGAAACACCTGTCAAAAGCAACGTAAGGGAGGAAGAGCTTATCCTGGCTCACAGTTCAAGGGTGCAGTCTGCTATGGCGGCAGACACATGAGGTGACTGGTCACTTTGCACTCATGGAGTTGGGAGGCAGAGAGAGATAAACACCAGAGCGCCCTCCTTTTCATACATTGGGGCACCCCAGCAGTTAAGATGGGTTTTTCTGCTCAGTTAATCTCGTCTAGGTAACACCTCCTAGGCGTGTCTAGAGCCTTGTCTCTAGGTGATTCTAGATCCTGTCCAGAGGACCACATTAACTACCACATACAATGCTTCTGGGAACACAGCATATGAAGACGGTAGAAAACCTTGCTGCACAGAGGGAACGAGCACCTGCCTACTGTGCCTCAAGCTTTTCATCCTTTCATCAGACCTCCATGAGGAGGAAGTATGTTACTGGGCAGGGCAGTGGCCACATTGAAATCTCTCAGCTGGGACTGGGACTTGGCTGCGTTGGTGAAGGGCTTGCCTATCATGCATTGAGGCCTTGAGTTTGGTCCCTGGTCTGGTTCTGCATAAAGCAGGTATGATACTGCAGGGGTGTATTCCAAGACTGTGGGATTACAGGTCAGGAGGGTCAGGAGGGTCAAAAGTTCAAGGCCAGCCTAGGCTACATAGCTATCACTAGTTCAAAGCAGAGGAAGAAAAGGAGGAAGAGAGGAGGAAGGGGAAGAAAGGAAAGACCCTCCACAACTGTATTAGTTGTAATATTTGCCAAACTGATCAATTCAGTTCATAAATAAAATTAGATCATCTTCATTCCTCCTTCCCAGAGACCAGCTGGCTCTCCCTCTGTGGTCAACCTGTGTCCTTGTCTGGGTTAGAAGGGGACTCTGTGACACTGAGTGAGGATTTGTTTCCAGACCCCTGAAGGTTACACTCTTCTGAGGACAGACTTGTGAAACTCCAAGCCTCTGGCGACATGGTGATATCCCCCAGTGTTCAATCCCTTTACCCAAGATTCCTGTCTGCCAGCAGGAAAAGCACACCACACCAGACTGCACACTACGCGTGCCCCACACACTCAGTCTAGAAGGAGCTGGCTCACATTTTAGAGGCGCCACCTCCATTTCTCATTTTTTCAGAGTCCTTTGCTTTAAGAGCAATTTGTGCAGATCAAGGCCACTTTGAAGAATACAGCCAAGTCAAGAGGAGGATTTTGCACGTGTGTGCCAGGCGCCTGCCCTTCTCCAGCCTGCCCTCTCTCTGGAAACAGCAGACATTTCCTTGTGCAAACAGAGGATGTGCACCACTTGGCCTGCACAGTGAGAATGGGTCCTGTCAGGGAGTGGGTGGCATCACTCAGCCCCCTGCTGATCTTCTTCCAATGGAGCCCTGGATCCAAATGGAAACTGGGGTGCTGTTTCTTCAGGGTCTGAAGTGTCTTACTGCTGGGAGCCCAGCAAGCCTTGCTCCACACAGGGCAACAGATTCTTATAGTCTAAAGGCATCAGGTGGAGGCAGAGAGTCAGGCAGACAAAAGAATACAATGGAGTTAAACTGTCCATGAGCCAAGCAGGCAGAACGACCATAGACAGCAAAGGATCAGGCGCCAGAGGAATGTATGGCTTGTCTTTCAAGCCAGGCTGAGCTTAAAGGTAGTTTAGCAATGAGCTCCACTCCCTCGATTAGTTCTTTTAAAAATGTTATTGTTATTCTTTCAAAATTTCATGCATGTATACAATATTTATTGGTCTTATCCACTTCCAACTACCTCACTACAACCCGTGCCCTACTGAGGACCTACAACCTACCTAATGAGTCCAGTCAGTGATGAGTATGTGCAAAGGGGCTTGAGCCATCCGCTGGGGCACTGCCAGCCACACACATCTTCCAAAGAAAAGTGAGACCTGTTCTCTCAGCAGCCATCAGCTGTCCATAGCTCCTCCGATAGCGGTGAGACCTTCAGAGTTCCCCTCACCCCAATCCATGCTGGGATTAAGACTTGCTTGGTTTTATATGGGCAGACATAGTTGCTGTGAGTTGATGTGTTCATAAGTCATGTCATGGCCAGAGGACAGTATCACACAGATATTCTCCAGCTTGTGTGTGTATGTATGTATGTATATACATATACACACGTGCACACACATGCACACACACATCTTTGCTTTAAGAACAATTTGTACAGATCGAGGCCACTTTACACACACACACACACACACACACACACACACACGTGATTAAAGGCATACCCTGTTCTAGCTCTTATATTCTTTCTGCCTATCCTTCCATGATGTTCCCTGAGCCTTGACTCAGAGACACTCAACTAGTTTCTCCCAGATACCTACTTCAAGCCAGATGCTGTACCAAAGACACGAGAAGAAAGCTCAGAGAAGCAGCCTTGGTTCCCAGCCTTCATCTGGGACTAACACTGACTCTCCCAGGGCTCCTCCTGAAGTCATAGAAACTGGGGGAGCATCCTACTGCACAAAGTGGGGGTGATCAGGTGGATAAGGAGTTCCCCAGTCTCCTGGACCCCAGTCTTCTGAATTCCCCCAACCTGAGCTCTGTCTCCAGCCTTGGGGTCTTCCTGGTTAACCATACAGATAGCTTCTACCTCTTTTCTGATCCCAGGCCACACAACAAGCCTTCCCATGTCTATATTAATCACATCTCCCTGAGGTTAATTTGTAAGGAGACAGTGGAAGTGTGTTATTTAAATAGCGATTATTAAAATCATGCTGAGGTTTGCTACATAATAGCTAATTATCTGTGACCTAATTGGGAAAACAATGCAGTCGGTTCTGTTTAGCTTCAGAGTTAATCCTGGGGAGCACACGGTGCACTGCCTGCATGTGTGGTATTTCTTCAATCACATTCTTACTGTTGCAAAGGTGTTGTCCCTTGAGAAGCCTTCCCTGACTGGGTAATGCTCACTTGCCAAGAAGCAGGGCATTTTCCTCACATCCACCCAGAGCACAGGGACACAAGCATCCAGTGATTTGTACAGTAATCCACCTGCTTACCCCGGGCTGTGGTTTCAGCGTGAATTGCCCCCCAGAGTCTCATGTTCACACGCTTGAACACTTAGTTGGTGGCACTGCTTGGTCCTTAGCTGGTGGCACTGTTTGTGAAGGTTGTGGAACCTTCGGGAAGTGGAGCCTCGATGGAGGAAGTGAGTCAGGGTGGGCGTTGGGAAGCCTAGCCCTACTTCCTGTTCTTTCTCTGTTTCTTGAGGGTAGGTGAAGTGTGACCAGCCAACCTTCTTCTGGTTTGCTTTTCTGCTGCTGTGATAAAAACAGAAGAAACAAGAACAAAAACAAAACCCCCCAAAAACTCTGCCCCAAAGTAACTGAGGGCAGGAAAGGGTTTATTTCAGTTTATGCGTCCGTATCACAGGCCATTGTTGAGGAACGTCTGGACAGAAGCTCAAATAGGGCATGAACTTGAAGCGGACACGAGGAATACTGTGTTCTGGCTTTCTCATTGGCTTATTCTCGGCCACCTTTCTCATACATTGAAGACCTGGGGTAGTACTGCCCACAGTGGGCGGGGCTCTCCCACGTCAGTCATCGACAAGACAAACCCTAACAGAAATGGCCACAGGCCAATCTGATCTAAGCAATTCCTTAGCTGACTTCCTGCTTCCCAGACCACTCTAGATCACATCAAGTAGACAATACAAACTAACCGGCACGTTCTAGCTCCCACCACCATGCATTCTCAGATTGCCATCATGCCCTCCTGTCTGAATCCCTGAGCCAAAATAAGTCCTTTCTCCCTTAAGCTGCCTTTGTCAGCTTTTAAAAAAAAAATCATACCAACAAGAAACCAACTAAGACACGTCATCTCACACCCTATCTCCATCCGCGCCTCACACCCTATCTCCATCCGCGCCTCACACCCTATCTCCATTCGCGCCTCACACCCTATCTCCATCTGCGTCTCACACCCTATCTCCATCCGTGCCTCACACCCTATCTCCATCCGTGCCTCACACCCTGTCTCCATCCGCGTCTTACACACTGTCTCCATCCGCTCGCCTCTTGGGAAGGTTGCCTTTCTTTCTCATTGGTGTTAGCTCATTCCATGCCTAGGCCAGGTCATTCCTACTTGCACACATCATGCTTTTCTTGGTTCTTTCTTCCCTTGCTCCTCTACATTCTTGGTTCTTCAATGGACCAGTGGCTTCTTCATTGCTTCGTCTTCTCAGTCATTGGCTCATCCATCCACTCAAGCTCCAGTGTGCTCTCATTCTTCATTTACTTGCTCACTCATTCTTTATTCCTTGGCTCATTCACCTGATCAGTGTCTCGGTCTCTTGTCAGTTTGTTCAATGTTAGCTGATCCATCATTATACTGTGCTCTGCGTAAGTCTGTCTGGCCTCTTGGCATAGCCTGAGCATTTCAGTTATTTAAATAGTCCTTTCTTCCTCCCTCCCTCCCTCCCTCCCTGCCTCCCTGCCTCCTTCCCTCCCTCCCTCCCTCCCTCTGTCTCTGTCTCTGTCTCTGTCTCTCTCTCTCTTTTTCTTTCTTTGTATGTCAATGAGTAGGTATCACAGCATGTGTGTGGATGAAGATTAGAGGACAACCTAAGGAATTCGATTCTTTCCTTTCACCATGTAGGTCTCAGGGATCAAACTTAGATCATCAGACTTGGTGGTGAAGTACCTTTTCCAGCTGAACCATCTTGCTGGCTGCCATTTCAGTTCTTTCTTGGACCTCACTTAAAAACAATTGTTTGCGTGTGTGTGTGTGTGTCTGTGTGTGTGTGTGTGCACATGTGGTACGTGTTCTCCGAGTCCAGAAAAGTGGGTTGTATCTCCTCGAGCTGGAGTTACACGTGGTTATACGCAGCCCAATATAGATACCATGAATGAAACCCAGGTCCTCTGGAAGAGTAGCAAGTGCTCTTAACCACTGAGCCATCTCTCCAGCCCTGGGCTTATGTTTTCAAAGCCAACTTTTTGTCACATCATAATGTGACAGAGGGATTACCCAGAAGAAAGTACACAGGTCCTTATGGGGTTATTGGAATGGTCTGAAAGTAAATGTGTCTGAGAGACTAAGCACACAGGTCAGTAATGAGACTCACTAGTCCCCCAAAAGTGCCTGTGTCTCCTGACTGTCACTCATTCTGCTCCTCAAGTCAGGACAATAATCAGCCTCCTGGCTTTTGGCACTGCGTGTTACCTGACTGCCACACAAATGCAGGCATTCTGTCTTGGGCTCCTGTGTGTCCTGTCTCCTGTGGTACAGCTTCACACCCAGCAATGTTTGTAGGCTGCCATGCAGAACACTACTTTGTTTGCTCTTGTCCCCATGTGGTTCTTGTGCTGTGGGCAAGTATGCAAATCATTTACCATCCTGTACATTCCAGTGTTGTGCTGGTGTAATCAGTGTCATTGGTGAGTTTTTGGTTTTGGTTTTTTGTAAGAACATGGATGAGTGTCTGCCATGTGGTATATATTGAGGTGTAATAGCTACACTGTGGCCGGGTCACATATAGGATCATCATCAGCAGATGCTGCCAAATGATCTGTAGAGTTGCTTTTACAGTATATGCTCCCACCAGCAGTGTTCAAGGATGCACTTTGCCCCCAGATTGCTTGCTCCATATCCTCGCCTGGTTGTCGGGTTGCATCAGGTCCTTCTGGCCCAGGTCCTTGGTTCTTCCTGAGTCTTCACTCCTGGAATGCTGATGTACAACACTCTGCTCCCGTGTGCTGACTTTGACTCCTTTAGCAGCCTGGTCTTGGAGATGCTTATTCAAGCCATCCTGAGTGATGCCATCTGGGCCTGGCATTGAGCGGCTGCCTTTCCCACATGGGGCCTTCCTTGCAAGGAGAGTCTCCCATGCATGTGACCTACTTACTGTGGTCCTTGCCCCTCAGCTAGACACTCTGCTGAGGGCTACAGTCTGACAAATCAGGCAGGTCCTACCCTTGAGGGGTTCACAGACAAGTGCAGAAGATAGGGCGTGGGCTTTTTATTCTGACTGAGAAATACAGACAGTTGGATTGGAGAGGGAGATGAATGGAGGATGTTCATGCAGAGAAGAAAACACAGACATGAACGTCTGGAGCATTGGGGGGTCATGTGGCCAGACAGACAATTTTGAACTTGAACCCAAAGCCCAGCGCCTGGAAGATACTAGCCCAATCTCAGTGATTAAGTAAGATGCCTTGAGACACTGAGCACGTGTCCAGATGTCCGCAGACTGTTAGCAATCATGGCATCCAGGAAAGGGCCAGAGGTGGAGTAGCTACCTGGGAAGATCCCCAGCTCTGTCACTTTGTGGGGTGCAGCTATCAGAGTCCATTTTTCTAGACGTTTTCTTTCTGTGACTCACAGTGTGACCTCAGGCCCTGCCATCTCAGAGTCTCAGGTGTTACATTCACAAGATATGGATAACGGTGCCCATGTCCTGGACTCCAGGGAAGTTGGAGTTGGTGGAGGTGAAGGTCTCAGGCTCTGTTCCTCCTCTACCAAGGCTGAGTGTCACACTGTCATGGAACAGGGTGTCCCTCACTTCTGTTCCCAATGTTTTTCTGACTTCTCTATCCTCACCTGCCTTTTAACTTCTTGGTTTCACCTTCATTCACTGTCTTAGATCCAGGGTGACTTGACAATTGTTTTGCAGATAGGGGTAGCTGAGTTGCAGGGCAGAATAACAGTGGGCTCAAAGCCATGCAGTTAGCTCTCAGGAAATTTAGCTCTAGAATGATGAATGACCTGGCTTGGACACGACTCCCACCCTGTGCCTGCTGAGAGGAGCCACCATGTCTGGGGACTTTCTGCCCAATGTTCATGCAAAGAGCAAAGCCCAAATATGCATCCACTCTGCCCCAGGAAGTCAGTGCTAACTCACCCGCAGGCTGTGTTGTGGGATGTTTGTACACCGTGCGAAGATATTTTGCTGTTATTGGTGTAACAAAGAGCTGAATGGTCCATAGGTAGGCATGAGATGCAGGTGCGACTTCTCAGAGCGAGCCCTGGGAAAAAGAAAGGGGGAATCACTAGCTGGACTCAGAGGAAGCAGGGCATGGAATAGGAAAGGTAAAAACCATGAGTCATGTGACAGCATGTAGATTAGTAGAAATGGATTAATTAAGTTATAAGAGCTAATTAGAAATAAGCCTAAGATAAGGCCAAGCTTTCACAATTAATAAGAACTCTCTGTGTCATTATTTGGGAGCTGGCTGGCGGGACAGAGAAAGACTCATTACAGGTTGAGTTTTCTCTTTGGATTCCACTAATGCTACTTTTCTGGATACAAACTGATTTGTTGTTTCACTCAAAATAAAGCTCACTGATTTGTTGCACATGTAAACATCATACGTGATCAATGTCATTACCCCCAGCTTAAAAACTCCACTAAAATGTTTACTGAAGGAGGGGCTTGATTGAGTAAATCTCAAATCTCCTCCTCCTTTCTTCTCCTTCTTCCCCCCTCTTTTACCCAACTTTTTAAACTACAAACAGAAAAATAATTTTAAAAGTTACTGTCTCCTTAAAATTACTCAGACACATGTCACTCATGAAGCTGTGAGGTGTGGCTTCATCACACATCTGAGCCCATCTTTCTGTGACAGCCTTGGCCTGTGATTGGCCATGAAATGTGCCATCAGCAATTTAGGGTTTTTTTTTTGTTGTTGTTTTTACCTGTTTTCCTTTCCTTTCTGGACTTTTCTGTTTCTTCACCTTTAACACAGAGTTGACACAGGGTGTGTGTGTGTGTGTGTGTGTGTGTATGTGTGTGTGCATACTTCATGGAGCTAGGATGGAGTCAGGGGAAGAATGAATGAGTGCAGAACAGCCAGCTTGTGGTGATACTCAGTTAGCAGTGTCATTGTTGTTGTCATCTGTCACCTACAGCAGGGCTGACTCCTGGTCTGTAGTTCCAGGATATGGCTGGAATGTTTTAGGTGAAAATCCCCAGAGGGTGACTTTCAGGGAGATAGCTCTTGGCTCTAAGCTAAATCTAGAATCCTCAAAGTCTCTGTGCTTCCTGGGGGCTTCAGCTTTTTCATCTGCAAAGTGGAGGGTGGGGCAGGACAGCTGCCACAATGTTTCTTGTTGAATGATATCTGAGTCAGGGAGTTAGATTTTTTTCTTTTTTACACCTAACACCATTCCAGTGTTTCCTGGGGTTTTTGACAAAGAAGTTTCTAGTCTAGTTTTTAAATTAGTTTACTGCTGATAAATTTGGCCACTCAGATACTCACCAAAGAGTCTTTCACCTGGGAGGATGGAAATGTCAGAATACTTGAAAAGCAGACATTAGTGGACAGTGAGCAGCTTTCCAAGCCTGCAGGTTTCTTTCCCGATATGGGGGCAGAATTAGAGAATGGAATCCAAAGGCATTGCGGGAGCATTATTCCTCAGAAGGCATCCTGAAGGCAGGGGCCATGGAGTTCCGTGGCTCATGGAGAGGAGACGGTCATTTCACACAAAGGAACACACAGCTGTACCAGGATTCAAGGTTTCTAGTCCAGTGACATTTTTATTAGACAGTGTCTGCGACTCAGTTCAACTTTTCTGACATGTCCTCGCTTGTAAAATGAAGAGAGAGACCATTAACAGGGTCGGATGCAGAGGAGATTTTCCACTACATCAAAACAGACAGCTCCTGAGTGCTGGAAACAGAAGCTACGGTTCCAGCCTAAGGGGCAAATCCTGCTGTCCAAGGTACTGAAGAAGAGAAGCAGTTGGTGCCCACCACTAGACCACATTACCAGGAGAGGGAGGGCACATTGTCTCCAGGGTCACATTCTACCCTCCCCAGAATAATCAGATGCCAGGATCCTGGTGCCTCCCACCCATGACTTGGAAACAACTTAAGACATGGCCCTTTAGTGACAGGACAGTTCCATGTGTGACCTATCACTAAGCATGTGCCTGCTGTAGGCTTGAGCAACCCAGCAGAGAAATTTCCCAAGCCATACCATTTACTAGTCTATCGTTGTATGGGTCCTAAGAATTCCTGGGTGTCCTCAGATTCACTATATTGTTAGGGACAACCATGAACTTCTGATCCTCCTACTTCCATCCATCTCTCAAGTACTGAGATTACATGTACACAGCACCACACCCCTTTAAAATATTATTTACGGTGTGTGTATGTGCGCACATGTATACATGAGTGTCACAGTGTGCATGAAGAGATCAGAGGGCAATTTATAGAAATCTATTCTCTCCTATATGCCTATATGTGGATTTCAGGTATTGAACTCAGGTCATCAGATTAGGGGCAAGTACCTTTACCTACTGAGCCATCTCACTGCCCTCTCTTTTATTGTACTGCTGAGGACTGAAATCAGGGGTTTTGTATGCCGGGCAAGCATTCTACCAACTGAGTCATGTCCCCAGGCCTTCACTGACAAAATGGAGAAGTATTTGCCAGTTGTGGCCAGGTTCTCCTCCAAGCTCATAGCCAAGCTGTTGGTCTAGAAACAGGATGAGCATCAGGGAAGGTAGAGCTGAGGGTAAAACCCTGGCATGGGCCTGAGAAGGGCTCCTTCTTGCAGCTCACTTCTGCACGGTGGCTGCACACACAGTGTGAAAGATCCCTCACACACACCCAGTCTTCAGTTTACACATGAACTTTTATTTAGTTCATTATAAAAAAAGATAAGGTCTTACTGTACAGTAGACTAGGCTCACACTGTTTATGCAGCACAGGCTGGGCTTAAACTTGAAATCCTCTCATGTACTGGGGTGGCAGCTAGCACCACCATGTCCAGCTTTATTCAATTCATTTTAATGTCTCTGTAAAGAATGGGACATCATTGCCATTTATTTTACAACTAAGTAAATGTTGTCCCAGAGTGCTGGAGGGACTTGCCTGAATTCTGGCAGTTGGTGAAGGACAGAAGTGAGGTTTTCAGATTTCTTCCTATAAGATCCTCACTGGCTCTCCAGAAACTGCCCTCCCTTGACTCTGAGAGTGGCAGGAACTTAGCTGGTGCAGAGTGAACTTAGGTCACTAGCAAACTTATCCGGTGTAAAGGGGGAAGAGTCTCATCCACTGCCTAGCTTTCCTGACCTGAGATGGCCTGGAAGACGTTCCTGGAGGACACAGGGTGTGCTGGCCAGACTCCCAGATGGTAGTGGCTCCAAGTGCGTATGGGAGACAGATTGGGAGGATCCATAGGCTAAGTCATTAGAGAAAATTGCCCCCTGAGACATCTTGTTCTTTGGACCAGGAATCAGGGACCACAATTCACTCCCAGATGCATCCAGGTTACCTAGCATCATCTCTCTTTGGCCCCCATGGGATTACCTGTGGGGTTGCCATGGCTGAGCATCCCCTTTGCACCTTCAGAAAACATCCATGAGCACCCACTAGGTGCTGAGCATGAGGGCTCTGACAGTGAACCTCGTAGAGTTGCTCATACCAGACTGGCTATAGACGTCCAATTGTCATATGGGAGCTGCCAGCTCTCACTCTGGTCCTTGTTGCTGCTCAGTTCTGGGGTCATTTCCTTCCCACCCCACACGCCTTTTCATAACTGAGAGGTGGAAGCAGGGGTTGGAGGCTAGAGGAGGGAAATAAGCCATTGTGGGAGAAGTTACTTCAGCCTGTTCCTTCTCTAACAAATGATCATCTGAACACAGATTAGCCTAGCCTTAGCCCCACCTGAAAAAGAAAAAGGGATCAGTTAGATTCATTTTCCTGGTTGGCTTTTCCAGCCCAGTGTTAATCTATTCACGGGCTCAGCCCATCAGGAGCAAACATGCTTCTTCAGGAGTTTTCTCACTGAGAACAAATGCCTCATTAAGTTAAACAGATTAACCCAGGAGCAGTATTGATGTCAGACAGTGTAATGAATGTCGTTATAGAGAAGGCACAATACTCCTGAGCGGCCCCGGCTCACCATCAGCGGCTCTGCAAATATACCAGTTGTTTGTTTTCAGATGGAGGTGGAGTTTCTTTTGGGGGTGGTGGAGAGGGAGATGGGAAGGAGCCATTGCCTAGAGCTAAGGTCACAGCCTTTCCTGTGATGGGCACCCTGGTCAATGCCAGAGTCTTTGGATGCTTGTGAAAAGTACATTGCCAAGGGAAGAGCTGTGTGTGATGTACTCACTGTTGGATAAAGGAGAAAAGTGTGTTCAGCTTTTGAAACAAGAAGATGGAAGGGAGGGTCAGACCCAGGCCTCTAAAGCTGGGGTCCAGATCCAGGCCTCCCCTTGTCTCAGCAGATGATGCCCAGCCCAGGCCCTCCTACCACACTGACACCCATTGCTTTCACCAACACTGAACTCATCAGTACATGGAATCCCAGGCAGATGGGAGTTTCCAGCTCTGGATTTGCAGGCGAGGAAACTGAGGCTTAGGGGGGCGGTAAGTTATTTTCCTGACAATGTCAGCGTATGGGGATAGTGTGCACAGGATGGGCAGCTGACCCAGGTGGGGGTCCCTCCATCCCATGCCCCTCTGCTGCCTGACACTTGATCCTCAGAGTCCTCACAGCCCCTCCTCTGGGACCGCTGAGATCATCGTAAATGCCTTGTGGTGAGAGCTCTGTCCATTTTCAGGAGCAACAAGGTATATGGCAGCCACAGACTAGTTGTGCCAGATATTCTCTGTGTGATAACAAAATACTAGAGAAAACAGCGTATGAGGAGTGAAAGTCTACTTTTGCCAAGGTTTCAGTTCATGGCTGTCTCCACTGGCTCTGCTGAGGTGATCCTGTGGTATGAAAGAGAGCATCATGGCTGTATGAGGTCAAGATGGAGTGAAGTTGCTCACTTTGTGGCAGTCGGGAAGCAGAGAGAGTATAAGGGACTAGGAATGAGGTATACCCTTCCTGCCCACCGACCCTGTCATCCTTCAACTCATTCCAAGCAATGTGTCTGACCCCTGGGGGCTCTCCTGTCCTTTCTGGTCCAGCCCCTCTCATCCATGCACAAGATTCATGACAGCAGCCTGTCTGTGGTCTTGTGGGATACATAACCTGGCCACAATGGGTGACTGCTCTCTCTACTTCACTTAGTGAAATACTTCCTCAAATGAAGCCCCAGAGGATGAATTCAGTGATAAATTAGAGCCCCCCCCAGTCAGTCGCCTCTCAAAAGCCTATCAGCTGGCTGCTGAGCCTTTAACAGTGAGCCTTCAGGGGACATTTTTAGATTCAAACCCTATCAGGAGTTTAGACTGATTTAAGCATGCCCCAGGACACACTGGCCAGGAGCCTGGCTGTCACTTTCTTTCTCAGCGCAGCAGGGTGAGTGCTGAAGACTTGTGCTGCTCAGAGGAGTTGATAAAGTCTCCACAGCAGATGCTCCAGAGGCCCTGGAGCTTTCTGCTCTGCCCTACTGGACTTAACCCTGGAGGCAGGCTGAACTGGGCTGGGTGGGATGAGGAGTAGGTCACTCTCAAGTTCAGCCTGGCAGGTAGGAGCACTCCAGATACACAGTCCACTCACTTTCACCCAGGGCCATAAGGAACTGAGGTGACAGCATCAGGGTCTCTCTCTCTCTCTCTCTCTCTCTCTCTCTCTCTCTCTCTCTCTCTCTCTAGGGATTGAACCCAGGATCTTACACAGCTAAGTGAGTGCTGTACCTTGCAGCCCTCATACTCAGTTTGAAACAATTCCAGGACAGGGGCAAGGATTCCCAGAAATAGCACAGGTGAGATCCGGGTTCAGCATGGAGGGAGTGTCTTCTGTGTGTTGACCTGTGGACAGAAGCAGAGGACTGCGTAAACAAGTCCAGGGTGCGAGAGGTTTATCCGAAGTTGAAGTAAGAGAGTTTCTGCAAATTCATATTTATAGACCCAGCCGGTCACATTGTTAGTGCGGTACTGCTATATGTCCTACTTGTCAGGTGACCCCACTGAGACTCAGGACAGCTGAATGACAAGATAGATCAAGATTCATATCAGGACCAGGATTACCCACCGACCACAGTGCTTAGCATGGCAACAGGCGGGGCAGTGTTTGCTACCCTGAAAACTTCAGGCATCTGGAAACTATTTGCTGCTGCCACAGTCCTAACCTGGCTCTCAGGCAGGAAGCCAGTAGTGGGCAAGAGACCTAGGACCCGTGGCCTCCCCCAAGTCTTGTCTGCAGAAAGGCAGGTTCCACCACTGCATGTTAGCACAAGCTCCCCCAGAGGGCTGGCACAGCTCTGTGTCAATTTCTATGACTCAGAGGTGGTGTCACCACCTCAGGTGTGAGCCTGGCTGTTCACTCAGGACCTGTTCTTTCACAGGGTGGGCTCTAATGACTTTGGCTGTGCATGGAGGCTGTAGCCCAGTTGCAGGCTGGGTACTTCATCTGCTGAACGGTGCAAAGCTGTATTCCATTCCCCTGAGACTAATCAATCAACTGACTGGCTAATCAGTTCATTCTCACATCACCTGTAAGTTCTCTGATGGCAGGTCCTGTGCTTTGTCTGTGGTGTAGTGTATTCCTTTGTCCTTGGGGAGTAGAAGAAACATACTTTACACATGGAAGAAACAGCTGCAGAAGCTTAGGATCAAAGGTGGGGGTAAGGAGAGTATTGGGGGAGCTGAGGCACTCTGTGAATACTGTGAAGCTGCCAGTCCATTGTATGTGTGTGTGTGTGTGTGTGTGTGTGTGTAGAGAGAGAGAGAGAGAGAGAGAGAGAGAGAGAGAGAGAGAGAGAGAGAGAGAGAGAGAGAGAGAGAGAGAGAGAGCATGCTGGGAATGGCTATGGATCTTCTGGTTACCCATTAACTAGTTTAAAACCACATGCTGTTTTTAGCCTGGGAGTCTGTAGGCAAGCCTAGCGTGGTGGGTTTGTTTGATCTTGGCTGGGTGCACACAAGGGTCAGCAGTCAGCTTATGGCTCAGCTGGAGCTGGCTGACTGAGTGTGGTGCCCCTGAGTTGGTTCCCTTCTGTTTCCTATTTCCTGTGCACTCAATAGACAGCAGCCAGCCCAGACATGTTGTGGGTAAAGATAAAGGCCCTGTGATAGTTGGCTTTAATTATCAATTTGATACAACCTAGGATCTCCTGGTGGGAGAGTCTCAATGAGAGATTGTTTATATTGGGTTGGCCTGTGGGAAATACCTATGGGGAATTATCTTTCTTTTCAATCAAATATTTATTTTTAATTATGGGTATGAGTGTATGTCTATATGTGCTCAAGGGTACAGCTGCCAAAGGAGGCCAGAAGAGGACATGAGATCCTGTGGAGCAGGTGTTACATGTGTTTTTGAGCTGCCCAGCCTGGGTGCTGGGAACTGACCTCAAGTCCTTTGCAAAGCAGTATGTACGCTAAACTGTCAAGCCATCTTTCCAGCCTTGTGAGGAATTATCTTAATTAAGTTGATTGATGTGGAAAGATCTAGGCCACTGTGGGCAAAATCATTCCCTAGGCAATGGGTCCTCAAATGTGTGAAGATACAGAAATTAAGCTGAGCACAAGAAACAATCAGACAAATATGCACACACCCATACTCTGCTCTTGCCTATGGTGTGATATGATTGGCTGGCCCAAACTCTAGTCTCTGTGACTCCTCCACTGATGGATTGAAACTTGGAACTGTGAGCTCAAATAAACCCCATTCTCCTCCTAAGTTTTGTTTTGTCAGGGTATCTTATCATAGCAACAGAAATGAATCTAGGACAGGCTCCAAAGATAATGAATACATACAAGATATCTTCAGTGATAGGCAGATATATGGAGAGTTAGGGAAAGAAAAAATGAAAAAAAAATCACATTTATTCATCCAAAGGCATATAAGTAAAGAAATGAGATTCTGTTTATGGCTGAGTTGAAAAGAAGTTGTGTGTGTGTAGTATGGGTGTGGTGTGGGTGTGAGGGATGGGGACATGTTGATGGGAGGGGGACATGTTGATGGGAGGGGGACATGTGGATGGGAGGGGGATGTGTGGATGGACAGGGCCTGTCCATGGGACAGGGAATGTACATCCTCATTAAGCTGAGCATAGGGACACCTCAGGGAGTGAATGCTGCCCCCAAACAGGCCAGGAAGCCTTTTTTCCTCATTTCTTTTCCTATTAGCTAATGGTAGAAACTAACATAGCTAAAGACTAGAATGGAAAGTAAAAAGTAAAAGAAATAATATTAATCCAGGAGAAGAAAGAACTAAGATATATGCATAAAATGTAATATATAAAAATCATGTAGACCATGCTAGAACCAGAGTGGCGGTTTTGGGAAAGGAGCTGATATGATGTTACCCTTCAGGGCAAGCTTTATTAGGAGAGACAACCTTGTCCCAACTATGCGGGGGGGCACATGGTTGGGCTTTGAGGTGGGAGACCATTAGAAGGGACAGCACATCATATAAAAGGCAGCATGATGGGACCTTAAAGGGAGAGAGAGGCTTCCCTTTAATCCTGGAGAGTAACTTCTTTAAAAGAGACAGTTTGAAGTTAAAAAGAGATATAGCCGTGATTTACAAGACAGTGGGGTATCACCGGAGAGCCTCCAGGAAACCCCCAAACAAAAGCATATCTTGGGTTTTGTTAGTCGTGGGGAGCTGGCAGGAAGTTCCACACCATGTGATATAGTCAATAGGATTCTACACATAGAGACTTGTAGAACACAGGGCCCAGAATCCCAGTTATTCAGGTAGCAGAGACAAGGGGATTGAAAACTCAAAGTCTCCCTGGGCTACAGAGTGAGTTTAAGACTCGCCTGGGCATGGTAGTGAGACCCTGTCTCACAATAATAAGTAAAAAGAAGTCTGGGGTATGGCTCCATGGCACAGTACATACCTTGAGTGTATGAGGCTCTGAATTCAACCCTCAGTGTGGTAAAACAAAACAAAAAAAAATAGAAAAGAAAACTATTTAGGATAAATAAATAAAGCTTTGACATTCACAGGCTGACTTAATATAACTGGATTCCACAAACGCCACTTTTCCAGTTAAAATAGTTAAATTGGTTCAAGGTAAGTTCCTAGAGGTCTTTTAATGGTTAAAACTTCCTGTATAAATCCTAATTTTTGAGGCCCAGTGGTGGTGGCACACACCTGTAATCCCAGCACTTGGGAGGCAGATGTGGGCCAATCTCTGAATTGAGGCCAGCCTGGTCTACAGATCCAGTTCCACGACAGCCAGGACTACACAGAGAAACCCTGCTTTGGAAAAAAAGAAGTCAGGGTTTGTTTCTGTGATCTGCCATCTCAGTCTAATTTTGTCCATTTTTAAACACGAAAGAAAGAGAGCCCCTCATAGAAGACTGCTGCAGCCTAATACTTTGGTTCACCCATTAGGGCTCCCAGCCAATGTCCAGCATTGGCAAACTCATTGCCTCATCCTATCAGTCAGGGCAAACACTGGGACTCTGCTGGTGAACCCTGCCATGTTCTGACATTAACAGGCATGTG